AAAAAAAAAAAAAAAAAAAAAAAAACCAGACTGATTATGCACAAAAGAGGCACAATCGAGGGTTAGATGAATTTTGTGCTGCCATTTTCTTTCTTTCGTCTGTTTTCTGTTGTTTTCCTATCAAGTATGAAGTGTTTGGGGTAGGTGAAAAAGGGAGAGAAGCTAAGTCTTGACCTGTAATAAGAGCCTCCAGCCCAACTCCTTCAAACGTTCATTCCTCGATATCTCCAACATGGCACACATAGCGACATCTGCAGCACTACCCTGCCCCATTTAATTGAAAATGCATTAGCAAACCCACATGCCCAATAATAAACTCATGGAAAACGAATAGCAAAAGACGGTTAAAGGATGGCACGAAAAGGACCTGCACTGGGGTATTGATGGCAGCACGTTCGATGTGATGTCTATGCGCTGAGTTGGCATTCTTTAGTGATGGGAAGCGGCGTGCCCTCCCTAGCAATGTGTAGACAAGTTTGTGATTACGCGCTTGTTTCTTACGGTCTTCCTGCCACTTCAGGACTTCTTGTCTGTCACTGTACCAGAGGTCAACTGTCTCTTGAGCTTCTTCACGGGAAACCTATAATAGCACAGATATATATATATACTCAAATGCAGTCTGAAATCAGTTTATACTGATTGAAAACTCAATGAAAGGAATACAAGTAAAAATACCTTCCAATCACGGGCAAGTCCCACGGTAGTTTTTCCGTATGCAATTGAAAAGTTGAGCATCTTTGCTTTCCTTCTTTCAGAAGCATACGCATCCTAAAATTATTATCCAAATCAATAAAAGATTTAATTTTTTCAACTCAGAAGCACTCGATAATGTTGCCAGGATTCGAGTGTTGTAATATTGCTGGTAACCCTCATTAGCTCGACAATAGTAGATTTGGCAATTGAATTTTGCACAACTTGTTAATCGTAATTAGATGGAGGGATTCGACTTGTTGCTAGGAGAAAAGATGTAAAGTTTGGGTAATCCTGAAATTCATGTCCATATAGCTTATAACTCAATTTAACATCTAGATCAAGAAAGTTGGCAATAAAATTTGAATAATGGCACCTCCTGCAAATACGGAGATAACACACACTGAAGGGGCAGTTGCAAAAACTATCCCTGAGATTTGACCTAATTACAAAAAAGTCCAACTCTCATGGCGAACACCACCTTCAATATCGCATATTATAAATTTTATCTACAAATAAAATGGTGGCGTTTGTTAAAGACGTCTAAGGTTTCTTGATAATTAGACTATACTTAAAGCTATATTTCATATTATATTAACTTTTAAAAAGGGGAGCTCTTGGGCAAACCTTTAGCAAAGGCACTGGAGGCTTATCTTCGCCAGATTGAGGATACCATTCGAGAAGCACTTCCTTTCGTTCAACAGCAGCACGAATGTGTGGATACATATTCATAGCAGTCCTTGAGTGGAAATCTCCACCAGCTTTAAAAGCATCCAACATGCTCTCACACTCGGCCAGATGAGCAAGAATCCTTAGTTCCAACTGACAACATAATACACTTCATCAACATACATCGCCAAAAATTATAATTACTACAAAAGTTAATCCCGAGTTGACCTAACTACAAAAAGACCTCTTCAATTTTCCATTTTCTTAACAAGTATCCTGAATCGAGGTGCACTTTTGCAAAATAGATCAAAACATCAAGGAGATATCTTTAATTATGTATTTTGTAGATAGGATTAAACCTCAATGGTGTTTCTGTTATTAAATCCTAAAGATACAAAAATAAATGCATGTTTCGGGAGGTCTCAGCTAATTTACCTGTCCATAATCAGCAACTATGAGGGAGTTGCCAGGTGCAGCAACAAATGCCTTCCGTACCTTGTACCGATCCTTCTCCAGTGCAGGCTGGTTCTGTATTTCCGATACACAATCTATTAATGCTCTGAAACAAATTGTATTAAAGAGAAATGTACGGGCAACGTCTTGACATATCAAGCAAAAGATAACATCTTTCTAAAAGATACAAAGCCTTAAGAAACACCCTAAGGAACCAAAATTAGGATTCAAAGCGAGGATTTATCTGGAGCACAGCAGTCTTTCGCTAACAGTAATTGCGTAAATAGGACAACGAAAAATAGGTCATTGGATAAACCTGCAAATTAGGTCTTCTTGCAGATAACCGCCCAGTTTCTGTGTTAAGATTTATGGAGCAATGGATTCTCCCTTTCTTGCCAGATATATGGTTCCCCTAAGTTAAACAATGGGGAAAAAAAAAAAAAAAAAAA